GTGCCCTTGCACCAGACAACCTTTCAGAGGTTTGTGGACCCAGCGGCACGGGCTAATACAGAGCCATCAAGAGCAGAGATCTCTACCTGGAGAAAGGGTTCAAAATAGAGGATATGCCCCAATTCATTAAGGAGGGAGCGAAAAAGCTGAAGTGGGAGCATTTATGTGACCCTCTATCCCAGTGCTGACGGAGCTTGTTCGAGAGTTCTACTTGAACTTTGATGCTGATAGGGTGGGCTGCACAGCCGTGAGGGATATCGAGGTGGATTGGACGCCAGAGAGGATCAAAAAAATCCTAAAAAAAAACAACCCACGCACTGACTTCAATGAGCTAGTCAACAGCCCTTCATTCGTGAACTTGACCATGCCCTACAACTGGTAGGGGTAGAAGGTGACTCATGGCAAGTCAATGATAAAGGAGCCCGCTCACTGAAGTCTAGTCAGCTCACATCGGAGGCCAACGTCTGACACTACTTTGTCAAGAGTCGAGACATACCCATAACATATGATTCGTCTGTTACAAAGGACAGGGACCTTTTGTTAGCCTGTATCCTAGAGGGGCGCTCAATAGATGTCGGACAACTCATTCACAGGGAGATTGCCCAATGTGCCTCCAAGAAAACCGGTCGCCTCTTTTTCCCGAGCCTCATCACCAAGTTGTGCTTGTGCAGGGATGTTCCCGTCTTTGAGAATGAGGATCATATTAAAGATAAATTGGTGATCAACAAAAATACGTTGGAGCATCTGATGCTCCAAGATCCAACAAGGTGAGGAGCTACGCCTACCACGTTCATCAATGAAAATGATGGTCTAATTCGCAAATATCCAGAAGCAATTAACGCGTATGGAGGAGGCACAGTCGGCCTTTGCCAATCAGGCAAAGAAGAGAGAAGTTAACATCTTCGCAGCGCTAGAGCGTTTGAAGGCAGAAGCCCCATCTACATCAACTGTGACATCTGCTGGCTTGAAGGTTTCGCTGGAGCAATTTGGCAGTTTCGAAGAGGAATATCAGCCTACGGGGGACTCTTCGGAAGAGGAGGAGTAATGAAGGAAGCTCTAATGGTTAAAATAGGGACGAAAATTGACTTATAAATTTATGAAAGTGTGGGGGTGTTTGGCCAAGGTGGCGATTCCTAAACCTAAAATGGTTAAAATAGGGTCAAAGACAGTTGGCTGTGTTTTTATTGGGTATGCAATTAATAATAGTGCATATCGGTTTCTTGGACATAAGTCAGAAAATCTTGACATACGTGCAAATACAATTATTGAGTCCAAGAGTGCATCATTCTTTGAAAATGTGTTTCCTTATAATATGAAAAATGAGTCAAATATAAGGAAAATGACACATGAATCATCATCTTATCAAGAAAATTTGGATGATATTCAAGAGCCAAGACGTAGTAAGAGAACAAGAGTTGAAAAAACTTTTGAGCCAGACTTTCTGAAAAATTTGTTGGAAAATGAACCTCAAACATTTGATGAAGCAATTTTTTCTCCAAAAGCACCATATTGGAAAGAGGCTATACAAAGTGAAATTGATTCCATAATGCAAAACCATACATGGGAATTGGTTGGTCTTCCTCCTAGTTCTAAACCATTGGGTTGTAAATGGATTTTTAAGAGGAAGATGAAAGCAGATGGAATAATTGATAAGTATAAAGCTCGTCTTGTAGCCAAAGGTTATAAACAAAAAGAAGAGTTTGATTATTTTGATACATATTCACCCGTTACTAGAATTACTTCTATTCGCATGTTAATAGCTTTATACAACCTTGAAATACATCAAATGGATGTAAAAACAACTTTCTTAAATGGTGAGTTAGAGGAAGAAATATATATGAAACAATTAGATGGTTTTGTTGTTCCTGGACAAGAGAAGAAAGTATGCAAATTGGTCAAATCTCTTTATGGTTTGAAATAGGCGCCTAAGCAATGACATGAAAAGTTTGATCATGTTATGATAACAAATGGCTTCAAAATAAATGAATGTGACAAATATGTTTATGTTAAAGGAAATCAAATGGAGTTCGTAATTGTATGCTTGTATGTTGATGATATATTAATAATTGGTAGCAGTAAAGAAATTATTTTTGCTACAAAACAAGTATTGACTGGAAAGTTTGAAATGAAAGATATGAGTGTCATAGATGTTATCCTGGGAATCAAGATCCATAGAACATCTAATGAATTAGCACTTTCTCAGTCACATTATATCGAAAAAAAATCTTGAAAAATTCAAAAAATATGATATAAAAGTTGTAAAGACACCTTTGGATGCTAGCCATCAATTTTCTTTAAATACGAGTGATAGTATGCAATTGGAGTACTCTCGTATAATAGGAAGTTTAATGTATGTTATTAATTGTAAAAGACTGAATATAGAGTCGATATACAAATAATCCAAGTCCAAATCACTGGAAAGATCTTTAAGAGTTTTGGGATATTTAAAATATACTCAAAATTACGGTTTACATTTTACTAGATATTCGACTGTACTTGAAGGGTACAGTGATGCAAGTTGGATAACTAGTATGAAAAATTCAAAGTCAACAAGTGGGTATATCTTTACACTTGAAAGTGGAGCTATATCCTGGAAATCTTCCAAACAAACTTATATAGCAAGGCCAACTATAGAATCTGAATTCATAGCCTTGGCCAAAGCTGGGGAAAAAGCTGAATGGTTACGAAACTTTTTGGAAGATCCTAATTGGACGAAACATGTACCCCCAATATGTATTCATTGTGATAGTCAAGCCACTATTGGAAGAGCGCAAAACATAATTTATAATGGTAAGTCTCGACATATACGCGACGACATAATACCATAAGACAATTGCTCTCTAATGGAATTATATTAATTGATTATGTGAAATCAAAGGATAATATTTCGGATCCGCTTATGAAAACTTTAGCAAAAGGGCAAGTGAAACTGTCTTCAATAGGAATGGGATTAAAGCCTATTATATAAGAGTTAACATAATGGTAACCAATCTAGCTGACTGGAGATCCCAAGATCTAGGTTCCAAAGGGAAAACAAATTTATGTATACAACTCATAAGAGCACTAAGAAAAGGAATTATAAATTCCCAACCATTCCTATTGTAAAAATTAGTGCTAACCTGGAAACGGATGAGATTAAGATATGCTTTTAATGACTCATAAGAGTGTGGTATTGTCAAGATACTCTTTAAAGAAGTCACCTATGTGGGTGTCAAGGGGCTGCTTCTATGAGAATTTTCAAGGCTGAATTATCTAAAAACACTTATAAAACCAGGCAGTATTCAGGGCAAAAATGAATACAAACATGAGAACCATTAGTATTTCGAAGAATATCTATGTAATTAATATGATTTGATTTACTCTTAAAAATTTGACAGTTCAAAGTTATTTAACTACTGATCGGCTTTGTAAACTTCATAGTTTTACTAAGGAAAATTCAACGTCTTAGACTACTTATCTTGATGTAGTTATTCTTCATGAGTAATCGTACACGTTTCTAAAAATAAATTTTATTCATCTAGGGGATTGTTGGAATTTTTGAATAAATTTTCTTTTGTTAAAAATGAAAAATCACAACTTTTTATGAATTGGTGCGTCTTTTGTAAAGGTTATGTCCTTTTATCAAAAGACATAACCTTACATGAAAAGATATGACTATTTGAATGACCACAAATAGTCTATAAATATATGGCACTTTTCAGTTTCGCAACACATAAAACTATCCTTAAAAATTCTCTCGTTTCTTTCTGTACGAGTACTTGAATACTAAATGTTCGTTAAGTCCTGTGCATGAAGTGCTGCATTCACAGGTTGGTATATCCGTCCTATCCTGTGAGACAATTGTTCATGAAACCTTGAGCACCGTAGAGGGAACAAAATTGTCTTAAGGAAACAACGCTATGTTGGGTTCGGATGATTTAATTTCATGTTTCCTTAAGTTTTCTATGCATATTTCTATAACACTCTCTCAAATTAATTTCTCTTACAATCTCTCTAAAAAATTCCATGTTTCAAAGACGATTTCCACAAATCAGTTTTCATCTAAAGGATAGCGAGGAAGTCCTTGTGGTGGTGTCGGTGTTCGATTGGTCTACGGTGAAGAAAAGGTTTTTCAAAGGTAACCACTTGTCCTCTATTTTTAGTTCTCTATGTGATTTAATTCAATCGGAAAATTCGAGCAATGCGTTCATGCGCTTCCGCTAGAGATTCAATCCCTTCATCCCGACATATTCCATAAGTGTGTTTCGTCTTCCGAAGGGTTTATGGGATGATCTTTCTATAATGTTTGCCAGATTTTGGTGGGGCTCGTCGGAGGACAGAAGGAAGATCTTTTGGTGTTGGGACTTTCTCTACCTTTAAAAAGATTAGAGACTTGTGCAAGCGCACACGATCACAAGTAATACTCGGAAGTAATCCAAGGTCGAATCCTCAGGGACTTGTTGCTTTTCAAAATCAAGTAATGTCTTGAAATGGTTCAAATATGCAATTGTGATTTAGGAAAAAAAATGTGATGAAATGTTGTTGTTTGGGGTTTAAACTAACAAGCAATTTAATAAAACTCAACTTCTTTGCTTCCTACCTTAGTCTTGATGCAAAACATAGAAAACACACTATGTTGGAGAAATTGCGCCAAGCACAATTCCTGACTTTTCTTGGGATTTGAGTTCTATTATTTCACTACTGTTTTTTATTGCTGTAGAGGCTAGGGTAACCTACAATCATATGCCTATGTGTGATTACAATCCTAGAGAATATCTACCAACTCACTGCATTATAGGTCAGAGGGTCTATGTCTAGGACCATGTTTTATGCGCTTATGCCTAAGTCACATCCCATATTGGTTTCCTATTATTTTACCTAACTCACCTTTCCCAAGGTTGGGTTTTGGTGTATAAATCAAGTTCCCACCGGCCGAATGGAAAAAAGATGTAAATAGAAGTTTTTGGAAACCAACCCAAAAAATTGTCACGCAATCTGGCCAAAATCTCGAGCGTGTTGAAAATCAAATCATTTTGACTAAGGCATTCCACAAAAAGATTGGTAACTAATTTAGAACATAATTAAAGGAAAATAACTGCACGAAAACATAAAGAAAGTATTTTTCATTGAATTTAAATTAATAAATAAGTCGTACAATGAGTTCTAGCTTGACCTTTTTCTCTCTCGAGCGTGAGAGGAGTTGAAACTCGCTAAAGAACTTTAAAAGAACGTAATGAACAAAGAACGGAAGTATGAACTTGAATTAAAAGCAATACAAAAGATAAAAGTGTGAAAAACAAAGAAATGAACAACTAAAATATAAACATAAACCTTAAAACGTGTTATACAACTAGAGAGCAACTAAAAGAAGATGAAATGAAGCTTGGAAGGGATCAAATTCTGCTGAAGGGATGGCTTACTTTTATAGCACCATAGATTGGTTGAAACTCCCCACTATTTTAGGTGGAAATGGGTTGAGATTCACCTAACCACTTCACTTGGACTTGGACTCATGGTTTGGGATGTGTTCGAACATGTGGGAAATGTCATCCTTGCCCTTCATTAATCAAAACGTGCGTTTTGCCATTTTGTTCTCCAAAAATGCGCTAGACGCAATTCTGCAAAAACAGATTTCTGTTATTTTCTTCCAACTTTGACCGCATTTTTCTCATAATTTTCCTAAAGTACCATTAGTTTGACTTTTATGCATAAATGTTCTATACACGTTCTACTTTAAGAATATGTGGTCCTTTTTGGCAAATAATAATGAGAAAGGGGTAAAAAACGTGGTCAAACAGGGGTACCGATACATGTTTCTGCACTAAAAAGTCAACCCTAACAGTTGGGCTCGTTGGGAGTATTTGTGTCTCCTGAAGGAGCTGGGGGTCTCAACTTTTACGATATCAAGGGTTTTAATAAAGCCCTTCTTGCAAAACAAGTTTGGAGGATGCTAATTACTTGCCCAAATCTTCATGTTTCTCGTATTCTCAAAGCCAGATACGTTCCTAGTTCATCATTCTTGAATGCTACGCAGGGTCATAACCCTTATTATTTCTAGAGGAGCTT